TTTGCAGGGGATATGACAACCATCTCACACAATTTCCTGAAATTTTTAAGCTTTCTAAAATGATTAGAGAACACACAATTTGCTTCACTTATCTTTCCCTTTGAAACAGTAGCCTGGAGTTAAGATGACTTTGTTTCTCAGTAGAGCACACAGAGACCTACCAAATTAATCCACAAAGCATGTGTCTTCCCACTTGGCCAAGGAAGCACGAAAACATTCCTCTTCATTCATCAGTGAACAAACTGTATTCATGCAGACCTATGTATCATGGTTGAAAAACAGAAAGCTTTAAAAAATTTCACTCTTTGTGGGGGCGAGGTGACAGACCAGCTGTCCTTTAAATGAATCATTGAGCTGATCCTGCTGAAGTCACTGTTTGTGACTTCATGATCTGAGGAAGAAAAAAAGAAAGAGGCAGACAAACATCTGTATGGATCATACATTACAGTGCTGTTTACTGAGATTTGATAAATATCAGAAATTGTGAGTTTTGGCATAGAAATTCTTGCTGGAAAGTTCTTACTAGAATTTCTAGATTTTGTTTATCATAAATGGTAGGTGATTAAATGAAATAAACAAATTAATGGTCTTTTACCAAACTGCACAATAGTCTTTGGATAGTACATATTTTGTGCCTTTCACCTTGGGTATAAAAAAATCAGTGGTAAGAGGTCTTAATGTCACATGGAATATCTGTGGAAAATTCCTAAAATATGCGGGTTAGGCACCCCAGTCCAGCTTGACCCATGGTCCATCTCTGATCTACAATATCTGTTACACTATAGCTTCCCCAAACCTCATGGGACAATGTGAAATTTAATGTCCTTGAAAAACAGCTTTTCCAATTACTTTTCAAGAATTATATTAAGGTGGTGAATATTTAATGATGGCAGCAAGCAAGGCATGTGAGGAAACAGGAACAAAGGACAAAAAAAGGGTATGGACCAAGCTAAATGAGAAAAAAATGATAAAAACTCAGCAATGACAGTGCCAGAATTAAGCAGTTTATTGAAACAATAGTTAAAAGGGAAAGCAAATGTATAAATATAGAGCAACTATGAAGTGATCATCCTGTATTCTCTGAATCTTCTTGCTATTATGTTAAAGTACTAAAGAAATTTCTCCATCTCTGCACATAGATCAGTTTAAGCATATAGAAATTGCAAAATGAATTAAATGGTTCAATGCAATTCCACGTCAATTCTAAACAAGCTAGAAAGCAAGATCTGGGGATCTTATCAGGAATTATATTGTAACAGAGTGGTACAATAATGTTAAGACTTTGGTGCATTTGATGATGGAGGAAAGAAGATAGAATCAGCAAAGGCAACAGCATACGTAAGCTACTCTTACATCAGCCTAGACTTTTATGCTTTTGAAAACTCAATGAATCAACATTTCAAACTACTTGCATTTCATACCTGAAATATTGACTATCATTTTGTAAAAAAAAATTTAAAAAAATCTACAGGTTCTGCTGCTAACAAATCTGACAGTTATACTAATTGTTTTACTTAGGTGCCTTTGTACCATCATTGTATGCTGTTTATTAATTATTGTTTTATGCTTAGATATAGGAGATGTTAAATATCATGGTTGATGTTAATAATTTTTTTAGGCTCTTCCTGAAATGAAAGTTGATGTTTTGCAACTGGTTGGCTATTTGTCTTTATTTGGTCCCAAAGAGGAGGCAATGGAGAGACAACAGCTTGAGAAGATAGAACCCTCAAAGTGGGGTGCCAAAATTACTTGGCTGGTTAAGGATACTGCATATTGGCCTGAATGGGTAATCACACTGTTTACTATGTGCCTAGGGCAACCAAATATCTTAGACGAGTCCTTTCCCTAACATAACTGTGTCATTTCTCCCTTTCCTTGAAGAAATCAAAACTACATTAACTGGTATGGTTGTGGAGGCAAAGTATCTTGTAGGTTTCTGAAGGGAGTCAGGAAGAGGATGGAGGACTTATTGAAAAATATTTAGCCTACAGGTAAATTAGGCTTACTGCTTTATGTCTTCTCATTTTCTCCCCAATTTCTGTCTTTACCTCCTTCTCCAGCCTCATCATTTATGATACAATAGGGACAGGGAAGGTCTGGTTTTGATGCTGTTGGACCACAGTTCCCATGATCCTACCCTGCTGGCTAGGGCTAATGAGAGCGGCTGTCTAATAGCATCTGGAAGCCCACACATTCTTCACTTCTACAGTATAAGATAAAGATCACACAGCCTATTCAGACTCAGGAAATCTTCAGAGTGGTACAGCCTGATGGACACAACTGCATGGTTATCCAGACAAATCCACAATTAAATGTGGCAGCTATGTGATCTCAGTTGCCCATTCTTCAACCCCTTGAATGCACCACTTCTAGGAAACAGACAACCTCTAGCTATGGATGTTGCAGGTCAGATATAATTTTTTGTATAGACCAGTGTCAACAGGCTGTGTGATGCAGCGTACTTTCAGACTCTTAGTGAAGCCACGGCGAGCAGCAAATATCTTGCTGATCAAATTCATTCCAGGATCAAGTGGTACTTATTTTTTTTCCCTGTAATAAACCCCTTGCCAGGCCACATTGTACTTTATTCCATCTGCCTTCTCAAATAAACCTGAGATGTTCTGCACTCTCAGATTAATGAGATAGAGTCAAGTCACCAAGTTCAAGCATAAAGGTTCAGCCTTGAGCATTCCTATGCCAGAACTAGGATTCATTATAGGAACATCTGCAGCATTTGGCATACAGTAACTATACTACTGTCCCTCTCTGAGAAATGATATAATCTTGCCAGTGAATGGAACAAAAGAAAGGGACAATTTTGAAAAATTCTTGGTATGATGTGGAATTAGAATGATGTGGATTTTGATTCATAATTATAGTGTGTCGTGGAGTCGATTCTAATTTATGGAGACCCTCTCCAGAGTTTCCTAGGTAGAGCATACACGGAAGTGATTTACTACATACAGCTTCTGGGGGAATCCTGGGACTGTGCAGCTTGATCAAGGAATACAGGCTGGCTCTTCTCTCTGGAGACACAGTGGGGTATTGAACTCTCAGCCTCTGCCTAGCTTACTGAACAATCCTATCAGCTAGAGTCTGATTATCCCGTATTACCTGATATTAAATTAATCTGAGATTGTTTAATGTTACCTTTGACACTGTGATGGAAGAAACATAATGAAAATAGCTGTTGAACCCATAAAGGGTGAAATATACAGTCTAGTAGTGTCCTAGATGTAATGTAATAGTCTAGCAGAATCAAAATAAAAGTGATACAAGAAAAGTATGCTGCTTAATAGAGTCCCAAGAAAGGACTCTATTAAATCTACACCACCTACAAAACAATTATGTGGTTCACCAGACAGTTCATGAACTACCTTGTCTTTTTCCCTCTTTCCTTTATATACAATTTTAATCCATTAATTATTCCATACCAATTAATGACTCTTCTCATATGTTAAACATAATCCTATTTGTTTTAATCCATGCTACAATTATCATATGATTAAGGCATCAGAACCTTTAGCTTATCTAGTTATTACTTTAAACAATGGGAACTGTTCTCCCAACCACATCAATGATTATGGCATAGCAGGCATCTTCCTATTCACATGGATGAGTCTTCTTGACATTGCTGACAATGGCGTTCTATATAATATAAATCAGGAGTTGGAACTGACTCTGGAAGCAAATAATGTGAAAAGCCCTTGCAGACCTTTCTAGTCATGAGGATCATTTATATTTTTCTAGCCTTGATCCAAAGTCTGTGATGATTAGCTTTTCAATTTATTGTTAGGCTGCCTGCAACATCAAGGACATCCTAAAAAGAAACCTGGGCAACTACTAGAAATAAGGGTTGGGGAGGTTACTTCTTTGAAAAATACTGCTCTCTGTTTATTTCCATGTTGCTGCCATTCTGGTAGGCTATATTCTTTAAATCACTTTACACATGTATGAGCATGTAGATACCAAATGCTCTTGTATCATGACTATGGGCAATCCTGAAATTACAAGTTATTTGGACAACTGACCACATGCATCTATATTGCAATGTGCTTGTGGGGGCTTGAGTTTGTTATCAATTGCCCATAGTTTTGCACAGAAAAAAGTAGATAAAATGTGCAACCACTTCATAGTCGGTATTTCTTTTCATCATTAGAATGGCCTGTGCAGGAGTAACATCTTGAAGCTGAAAAAAAGATTTAATTATAGGTAATTGCCATGGCCAGTGATGTTATTCCCATTGCGCAGGTGGGACTTTGCAATGACACCAGCCCATAATATTTAATCATCATATAAATGTTACTCATAATAAAAACAAGCTCAGCAGTAACAGCAAAGCTGTGACACTGGAGCTCCACCCCAGGCCTTCCAGTATGCTTAAAGACTAGGTTTATCTGGCAGGCCTTTTGGCCTGCATTGATACAGTATATATCTAGGCTACACGATTCTAGCATTTGGTAGTGTACTTGAACAGCCATGGCTCCCACCCTACATAATTCTGGATTTCTAGTTTCATCAAGTGCATAGCATTCTCCTACGGAGAGCCCTAAAGAACTATGACATAGGTCTAAATTCTTTCCAAATTACAAAGCTCGTTAATTCAATTAGATGGCATTGTGGCATTTAAAGTGGTATCAAATGTCAACACTACTGTTACTGTGTTGTATAGATACACTGATATAACTTCTATCCTTTGGTGTTCACTCGCTGTTTGAAAAGCTATTTTTCTACTGTTCTACCTCTTATTTATTTTTCATCTCTTATCTTATCTAAAGGCCACGATATTCTTTTGAATACGAGTAGAAAGCAACATACAGCCGATAACAAGAGAGTGAGTGAGAATGTGTGTACGCGTGTCTGTCTCGAACGATACATATACTGCATATGAAACGAAGGAGGCGGGGCAAAGGGTGACTGCGACGTTAGCACCTGCGCGCTGAAGAAGAATGAAGTACCCGGAAGTGGGCGAGGTCCCTGCGCATGTGCTCTGGTCTTTGGAAGGGTCACGGGACCGGAAGTGGCGTCGTCGGCGCTCGTGTTGCCGTGTTTTGTGAGCGGCTCTCGGTTGCCGCGTGCGGGCGAGATGGATGAAATGGAGGGGGTGTCGGGCGCCCCGCTTCAGGGCGACGTCGGCCTTACGGGGCTGAAAGTCTTGGAGCACCTCCAGACCCTCAAAGTCGCCTGTGAGGGGACCTGCCCGCCAGGACTGGCCCGGGAGGAAGGGGCCTCGTGTCCTCCTCCTGAGGGTCGCTCCGCGGCATCGCATCCTGAGGGGCTTCCCACGTTGCCGGAGGCCGCCCTTCACGGGGGCGACGGGCAGGAACGACTCCCCCTCCTCGGGTCAGGAGACGCTGCGATGGAAGAGGAGCCGCCCCTTTTGGGCAGCCGCCGCTCCTCCTCGGAGCGGGGCTGGACGTGGCCGGCTTTGAACTCTGGAGCGGGAGTAGAGCCAGTTCCCGGGTTTGGTGAGGGAGGCCCGGAGACGCCGGCTGGAGGAGCGCAAGAGGTCAAAGAGGAGCTGCCGCCACCACCTCCGAACTCCTGTGGCGGCTCCTCTTCCCTTCTGGTTTCGGACGGAGACCTTACTCAGGGGGAGTTGGCGGGAAAGTCCGCCTCACAGACCAGTGAAAAGCTGCCGGAGGCGGTTCCGGCGGCCCCAGGGAAGGAGACGGAGGAGTCGGCCGCGGGAAGCAGCGGCAGCACTGCTTCTTCTTCCGAATCTGAATCCGAGTCCGAAAGGTGGGTAGCCTTGGCATCCCTTCAGTTTCTCGAGGAAGGGACTTTCGCGTCTCTGCCCCTCTCCTTTCTCTGAAGTTTGCTTGGGTTTTATACGGCGCGCTGGAAGCGTTTAGTTAGCAGACAAGGTATGTAAACCTCAGAAGTGCTGTGCAAACGAACGGTTTATTTCTTGAAGTTGTCCCTCTTAAAACGTAATTCTAGGCTTGGGATTTTACGATTTGCTGACTGTTGGCAGAGGAGTTTTAGAATTGCAGAGCTGGAAGGGATCCTAGGGATCATCGAGTCCAGCCCCTGTCAGGGATGCACGGGGGAATCCAACTCCCGGTCTCTGGCTCTGCAGCCTGATAATACCTAAACTACTGAGCTATCCAGCAGTTTTTCACGGGGATGTATGACTATGTTGGCTTGTTGGTAACGGTAGGAAAATCAGTGAGCCAAATGCTTGGTTATTCAAAATGTCAGAATAACAGAGTTTTTTAGTATTTTGTATTTTTTTTGTTGTTGTAGGGTACTAGGGTTATACGTTTTAATTCTGTGTAAACTGCCCATTGTTGTGCTTACACTAATGCAGCCATATATAAATTGATAGAATGAAGAAACCAACAAATGTAGCACCCTGGAATTTGGTATTTTGCTTAACTTTCAAGGCCCTTAGATTGCCTGACTATAGCATTTTTGGGCTAGAACTCCCAGAGTTAGAATCTTTCTTCTGAGAGTCTAAAAAAGTAACCTTTCTAAGTTCTTTTGGACCTTTCTAAGTTTTCTTGCTAAAGGAAGCCCTGAACTCCACAGAAGCTCTTTGTGTAATGTTTGTAGTTCTCCAACAGGTGATTGAGAAACAGAGCAAAAGAGTACAGATGATTTTCAAATTATATTTTCACATATATTTCCTATCAAAGTTTTGCTTGTTTGTTACCAAAGCATAGAACTTTTCTCTTATTTTATGTTATTTTAACATAACTATTTTATATTAAAATAACAAAATAGTTTTTAATAGGTTAGAGAAAAATACTGCATGTGTATTTGAGGTTATATGTATCTGCTTGTAAACCTTATTTTCACTTTGTAATGTGGACTGCTGTGAATAGAGCTCTTTGTGCTCTTTATGTTTTAAGCTGAAAGATAAGGAAACTGCAAGTTTGAAATCCATGTTACATTAGTGTGAGACTTACTAGTACTTGTGTATCTTGTTTTAGCATGAATTTTCAGATATTGTAATGGAGGAAAGAGCTACACAGAGCATTGGTATTTTAGCATTTTTGTGCTGGAAATCTCAGTCACACTTTGATGTTACAGATTTCAAAGTAGGAATCATGTTAGTCTGTAAGGATAGTCAAAAACAAAATAAAAAACAAAATGCAAAACTGTATTCATGTTGTGTAGTGTGTTGTATGCTAGTAGCTATTTGAGATTAACACACAACAGGCTACACAACAGATACAGAGATGGATTGGACTATCCATAGGCAAGGGTGAGTGATCTCACTATTAGACCACTAAAACAGTCAACCACTCCTGCAAGAGATTGGCCCTACAAGAAACTTTATGTTGCTTTCATGCTAGACGAGTTAAAGCTATTCAGTACATGCAGTTGGGATTACCTCAGTTGATAATTTGTATCAATGGTTATGTATTTAAAATAATTTTATCCCATTTTTCTCCTTAAAAAGGACCCAAAATGGGTTATGTCATTGAAAGACAATAATTAAAGCTAAAAAGAATAAATATACAAACATTAAAGAACAAACAAGTACCACTCAGAGAAATGGTAAACAAAAGCAATACTAAAAACACATTCAAAGCAGTAAGGCATAACAGTCCATCAAAATATCTTATTCAGGCAGCCATTCACTCACTCAGGGGAAAGCTTGCCTGAAAAGAAAGATCTGCCTGCTTGTGGAAGGACAGCAAAGATAAGGCCACTCTGGCCCTGTGGAAGGGAGTTCCAATGTCTGGGAGTGGCAGCAGAGAAGACCCTCTCCTGTATCCCCAGTCAAATGCACCTGTGAAGGTAGCGGAACCAAGAGGAAGGCCTTTTCTGATGATCTTAATATCCAGTCAGGCTCATAATGGAATTTGAAGAGTTTTAGACTCATTGAAATTTCCTGACTCCGTTGGCAGCCCCACATAAAGCGTGTTACAGTAATCCAGCTTGGATGTAACTAAGGCGTCACAGTGGCCAGATCAGATCTATCAAGTGGTTGCAAATTCATTCTTGGCCTGTGCGGAAGACTGGGCATCCAGGCTCAGAGATGAATTCAGGAGCACACCCAAGCTGCACACTTGTGTTTTCAGGAAGTGTAACCCCATCCAGCCCATGTTGCATCCCTGTTCCTTGATCTGCCTTTTGACTGACCAAGAGCACCTCTGTACTGTCTGGATTAAGTTTCAGTTGATTTACCCTCATCCAGTCCATTACTGGTGCCAAACAATGATCTAGAACCACAACAGTTTTCTTAGATTTAAATGGCAAGGATAGATAGATAGAATTGAGTGTCATCCGCATACTGGTGACACCGAACCCCAAAACTCTGAACAATCTCTCCCAGTAATTTCATGTAGATGTTTAATTGTGCCTGCCTACATGCACATATACTTGTGTTTCCCTCTATTTAACATGTCTGATAAAATGGATTCAACCCCAGAAGCTTACACTGAAATGTAAAAGTTAGTTTTTAAGGTACTACCGTATTCTTTTGCTTTGCTTTTTATTTTGTTTTGGTTTTGTGTGACTGAGATTTCAGCAGGTATTAATGACATGGTGTGGTATATCTTTGCACTTAGAAGAACTATAGGCTTAAAAGCTATGCAGATGGAACATATTTCTTTAGTTTATAATGTTCTACCTTTCAGGGGAATTCATGTTAGCATGTTGGATGAGGTAGTAATTCTGTGCTAGGGAAGCATGTGATTTTGAGTTTCAGATCTTACTGCCCATTGTCTGATATCCTTGCCATAAACTGCATTGTTGGCCCCACATGCTGCTTATGTATTTAACAATGAGGGGTTATGATAATTTTGAGTGTTTAATGGCATGAGAAGGTACTTATTTTTGAGTTTTCAAATCAGAAAGAAAAATTGTTAGTGACAAAAAATTTCTGATAATAGGAATTTCTGTGAAGATTCTCAATCATCCAGATATGGTTATCTGGAAGTTGAATCATGGCAACTGGACTTCTTGTTAGGTTGAAATGTTTCACTACTCATCCAAGTAGCTTCCTCATTCTGACTGAAGAAGCTACTTGGATGAGTAGTGAAACGTTTCAACCTAACAAGAAAGAAGTCCAGTTGGCATGATTCAACTTCCAGATTAATATAGATTATTCTGAGTATTCATTGTTCTTTGAAAGGACCCTAAGTTCTTTCTCAGTTTGAGTCTCAAGTTTCACATGCTATTCAGTTAATGGCATCCAAAGATTACATGAAAGTAACAGTATTAATTGGGAGGTGGCAACTTGGCATAGTGTTAATTATCCCCAGACTGTTCATATGTTTCCCTCAGCCTCTGAAGACATTTGTGCTTTCTTAATGACACTTTCAGCAAAGGCAGTCCTGAAGACCACCTTCAGTACCTGTCTGTAAAGGTTGTGGTAGGGTTAGGATTAGACCTATCCATTGCCTTAATAGAGCAGACTGTGCAATCAGTTGGAAGGAATGTTTCCTGATTCCCACGTGATTCCTGTCTTGCAGGGAGAATGGAATTGTAAATAGTCCTGTTTCATGATTGAATGTACCCATGAATGTTCCTTTCTTTCTAAGCCTTTGCTCCTATTTGTGCCAGTATAAGGCATTACACTATAATAAAAATTTGAAAAAGGTCAAATTCCTCCAAGGTATTGGTGTTCTCACTTTTACAGAATGCATGACCATTGAAATTGTCTAGCATTCTTAGTTTGGGATGTCCCAGCAGTCCTTCTGTTGGTGGCCTCTGGCATAGCAAAGAACTCATCCTTTTTGTTTCATTAGTGTAATAAGAAGTATTTACTATTCTGTTGTTGTTATTACTACCTGAGTCATCAGATTTTAATGTAGAGTGGATCATCTGATCTTTGACTTCTTAAAATTCAGTGAAATTGCAAATTATGCAAGATCTTTGCTTCATTTATCTCCTTTGGCAGGTGATGCTAAGTAATCCATTCTGTTCTGTTTGGAGGCTGTTGCAAAATACAGTTGTATTAAAATGAAGTAAACAATCTTCAGTTTCACACAGGTTCTGCTACCAGAAGTTATAATTTTTGTTCTTACTTTGAAAAAAAGTCATTTGGGCTTGAAGTGGAGTTCTGTATTTTTCAGTATTTTAGATACAAGATTTTGCATGTCACTTGATTTTAAGAGTATTATTGTACATATTATACATGTTTTGTCTTTCTTTTCAACAAAAACAACTTCACAACAAGGTCCAGCCTTTGCAGTAGTAGCACTTTTTTTGGATTTTTTGTTTGCCATCTGTGTGGGTTCAAGTTTGGCACTCCTTTCTTTCATCCCCCCAATAAAGGGTGACACTTCTTCTGCTTGCTCAAACTTTTTATTAACTTCCAATTGAGTGTCATGAATAATTATTTCTGTAGGACCAATGGGCCCTTCTAACTAGTGCATAATCCAAACTGCCTTTAAACCCAGATGTGAAGAATGGTTTCACCAATGAGGGTTCACCCCAAAACGCTCTTGATCAGTTGGTTTCCTGATGGGCTTTGTGAAACTGGGGCATATGAATACACAAAATGTGTATTCCACTTCAGTAGGTGCTACTGGTGGGGATTCATTCCAGTCTGGCCTCCCTTCTTCCAGCGATCTTCCTCCTTTGGGTACTCATAAACGGTCCATTCTACATGTTCAGTCTCTTTTAACTGGACCGTGATTCCCCCATGCCCTCTCCTGTATGAATCTCTTCTCTTCTTCTATCCTTTTTACTGTCTAATGGATTTATTTTACTTTATTATTGTCTTCTCTCTCTCTCTCCTCTAGCGGTAATTTCATCTTAGCTTTCTCTTTGGTCCAGGGATCCTCTATTTCCATCCACCCACCCATCTTACCGATGTCCCCTCCCCCTTCACCTCATTCTGTTTTATTTCCTCCTCCTCCTCCTCTACCTCTTGCCCACAGTCTATCCGTTCTTTTATATATCCCTCCATCTCTGCCACTAGAAAAGTCTCTTCTATTGGTGCCTCCGCTTTTCCCGTCATTTTCATACTCTTTTTCTCTTGTATCTCTAACTGTTCAACTGCTGGCAGTAGTGTATAGACTGTTTCATAACCCTTCATGATAGGTGTTTGAGGGGATGGCTCACTCTCCTCCTTTTTGGTGGGTTTTTGTTCCTTCTCACAGCATCTCTGTGTCCTGCATTTTTGAGATCTCTCTCTGATAATCCATCCCCTTTCAAATGACTCCTGAATATATGTGTGGCCGGCCCAGTCTCATACCATAACATTTTTGGTAATGCCTGGTGACCCAGCCCTAAAACTGGCCCAAACAGTCACTCACCAACAGGACACTTAGCTTCCATCATGCTACAGTCTAGCTCTGACTTGGCTATGTTAAATAGAAAGCAAAAATCCACAAAGTAACTTTATAAACATACCAGCCTTGTGAGATAGGTCACTGGGACCATCCATACTTAAACTCAAACACTTTCTCTGATAAGTAGTTGAGGAGGAAAAGATGGATTTAGTTTAGTACCTCAGTGACCAGGTACAATGTAGGATTTTGTGTTTATTGAGAATAGGAAAAAGGCAAAAATAAATCAAAGTTCTAAAAAGACAAAAAGGCATAAAACCTATAGCATCAAGAGGTTTGGGGAAAAGCAGGAAATCACAATAATGACAAACAATAAAGCTAGCACTCTACCTGATACTGACATTGTAGAGTAAAATATGTCCTAGGTTCAGAGCCTGCACAGCACACATTTCACTACAGTGACATGACAGCATAGCAGCTGAGCATAGAAATGAGCAAGCTAACTCTCTAGTGTATTGTTGCCCTTTTTATATATTAATCTTAACTTCCAGGCACTTCTACACTTTTAGCCAATCAGGTCTCATCCTTTTTCAGAGATGCATAAGTACAAGCAATACCTCATGCACCCGCGCACACACACACACACACATCTTCCCAACTGGAGCTGCATTTTAATTAGCACAGTGCTAGTCTGTGCTTGATTCCCAGGTTCGATTCCCAGAAGACAAACCACAGGTGATTTCCCTCTTGTTACTGGGGCAGAAAATTACAAGTGCTACCAGCATACAATTTTTCTCATACAGGCCTGCTCTAAGATGAATTCCTTCTCCTGTTCTTCTTTATATTTTAATTTCTTGACACACTCTCGAGTTTGAAAAGGAGTTCTTCTTAGACTTGCTCTGCACTGAGCCTTGAAAGAGCTTATTAAAGTGCAAGGTAGCAGTGGAGAAGCTCAGAAAAGTTAGCTTGTTCCTTTTTTAGCCTTTCCAAGACTGAGAGGTGACCTCACCCCCCACAATTTTAGAGAGTGGAGACATATTCTTCCCCATAATCTAAAGCAGCCATTCTCAGTGGGGGTCATATGGTCCCCTAGAGGGCTCTGACACAGTTGATGGAGGCCATGACTGGAAACAATTCTTTGCACACCAGCTTATAAGGTTTGTAACATGATTTATATAATCTTGATTTGGCCTATATCTCTTTTATATTGTGTCTATGACTTTGGCCAAAGACAGGTTAAGAATAGCTGATCTAAAGTGTCTCTTAAGCTCCAAATACATATGATCTGCCCTAATATATATATAAATTGTACAACATCAGCCTCTCTCCACTTATGAGCTAGCATGGTGTTTAGCAAGCTAGCAAGGCCCTACAATTACTGTTGTAATAAATCTTTTCTCAGACATACACTGAAAAAAATGTCTTCCCAGAGAATTGTTTGAACACTGTGAGAGAACACAATTTGAGAAATAAAATTTCACTCTTGTGCAGTGATACAGATACAGACAGTTCATCCTCTGTCTCCTCCTCTTCCTCCTGTCTTCCATCGTTGTCTGAAGATGATGAACAACAGTGTAAGAAAGAAAAGAACTCTGGCAATACTAGGAAAAAAGGTGAATCAACTGAAGTAAGTATACCTGAGAATTTTTTTTATTATTTTTTGCTATCATGGGGCAGGTTTAGATATTTTCTTGAATGGTTCAGTTCTGGTTCTGCCAAGATAATGGGAATATTTGGAGAGCAATATTTAGCAAGGGATGTATGGTGGAAATGAGGAGTACTTACATACTCCCATGTTTGTTTATCATTTCTTGCAATTTCCTGTGCCACAGCAGTTTTCCTCTCAGCACTTTTTACTTCGCTTTTAGAGACTGATTGGAGAAATTGTAAGTGTAAATAGCCATGAGAATATGCACTAGGGTGTTCTCTTTTGTGTTTTGGATTACAGCTCCAAGAATTCCCCAGGAAGAATTTTGGAAGTTGCACGCCACAAACATGCAGATGTCTAGATTTCAGCCTCTTCCTAAGAAGGTTTCTTATTTACACCTCATTATGGCATAATTTTGTCTCACTCACCCATTTTTGCTGTGGTGCTTCCTGGGAGTTGTAGTTCTTATAGAGGAGAGGTGTCCTTTATAGAGCCAAGTGGGCAGCCAGATGATAACTCCACACCTATAATATTCTGGTTCCTTGTCAGCAATGGTAGGGGTGATTGGCTGACCAATAAATAACATGAAAGGCCTTCTTGGGTGTGTGGGGATGTAGACATCTGCAAATTTGTGTTCATGAGGTATTGTTCACACAATTTTTCCTGGGGAATTGTAAGAGTTGCAGTCCAGAAACATGAAAGAGCACACCCCAGTAAGCACTTGGCAGATGAGAATATGTGAGTGGAAGTCTCAGTTTAACCTGTATATTCGAAGGAGAAGGAGAGCATTGCTTTGTGAATGATATATCTGTGAAGATTCTCAGTTATCCAGGTGAGGTATCTGGAAGTTGAGTCATAGCAATGAATGAATGATGTTTCTTCTTTATAACATTTGGTTGTACCTTCAACTACATTACTGTTTCCATAAAGTGGAAGTACAGTGGTGCCTCGCAAGACGAAAATAATTCGTTCCGCGAGTAGTGCTGTCTTACGAAATTTTCATCTTGTGAAAAGCAGTTTCCATCTTGCGAGGCATTGGTCTTGTGAAAACCATTTGTCTTGTGAAGCACGGCCATAGAAGAAGCCGTCTTGCGAGGCACCACAGCGATTGAAAAAAACATTCATCTTGCAGGTTTTTCATCTTGTGAGGCACCACTGTAATGGTAAATATATAGCTTTACTTAGTTTCCTGTCTTTATTTTATATGCTTTCCCTGTTGTTGAATAAGCTGGCTGAACAGCTTTTCTTTTGCCAGAAAGGGCCTGTGAGGCACTTTTATATAGTCATTTCACCTTTGGAATAAACAAGGCTGAGAGGACTCAATTTATCTCAGTATCAACTGTCTCTCTTCTTTTCTATTTTGATCTTTTGGAGTTCTACATTTAATGTTGGTAAGTGTTAAGCCACATATTGTGCACCTATTTTCCCTTCTCTGTATCCCACATCTTTATGTTTATGGTAAGATCATACTATGGTTGCACAAGGTCTTCCAGTTGTGGAGACTGGGGGGAAAGACTCCTTGAATAACTCTTCTTGTACACTGCCTTCTTGTGGGTATAATGTGTGTGCGTCCACACAGTTATGTATAGATTATTCAGAATGTGCAGTACTGTAGTAGTATTTGTACTTTAACGTGAACATCTTTTGAAAACTATTTATCCAGAAGGATTCACCAAATATTGAAGAGTTGACAATAATTCTGCCTGAATCTGTTGAGCTAATGCCTTTTGGAAAGGTTTCCAGCATCATTGAGCACCAAGGTAATCAAGATGTCTATGTTGTCTTCCCCCCCCCCCCCAAAAAAAACCATCATCTTGTTCATACAGTTAATTGGTCTCTATCTGCCTTTTGGACCAGTATGATACAAGGCTAAAATCCTGTTTCAGTTATTAGAGACTTCCTGCTTCTCTCTTAACTGATCTGTCTCAGGTTTAATCAGTCATTGCATGGAAACAGTGTTATTCATAATACAATTGGTGTTACACAGGTTTTATTGCTGACATAGGCTATAATTAAATTATTTTTTAAAAAATAAATTATTTTCAAAATTCCATTAGAAGAGATGCTGAAGGTGGGCTACAAGCAGAACACTTAAGCTGAAGAAGCAAGACAGCAGAGGAGGTTCAGAGTACAGTGGTGCCTTGCATTACGACATTAATTTGTTCCAGCAAAATCGCTGTAGAACGAAAACGTAATGCGAAATTTAAAAGCCCATAGAAACGCATTAAACCCGATTAATGCGTTCCTAGGGGCTTGAAACTCACCTTCCAGCGAAGATCCTCCATAGCGTGGCCATTTTCGCTGCCTGTGCAGTGAGGAATCCATCCCAGAAAAGAGCGGGGAGCCATGTTTTTTACCCGGTGGCCATTTTGAAACCGTCAATCAGCTGGACGAAAATCATTGCTTTGTGAGAATCGGTTCCTGAAGCAGGGCACCAATCATCGCAAAGCGAAATTCCCCCATAGGAAATATCGTTTTGCGATTGCAAAACCTTCAAGGTAAAGTGATTTCATTGTAAAACGGAGCGCTCATAATGCGAGGCAGTACTGTAGCAGCAATGTATTCCTATCAGAATTTTTTTTTTAAAAAAAAAAATCCACAAACAATCCCTTCCTGTTTTATTATTTCAAGTTTTGGCCACTTGAAGCCTTTTCCAGGCCTGATGCCAGTGGGGATTAAAAGGGCTTGAAAGCCCCACCAACATCACGGTCTTTTCCAGGGAGTCTTCTCATGAGATGGCCAAAGTATTGGAGCCTCAGCTTCAGGATCTGTCCTTCCAATGAGCACTCGGGGTTGATTTCCTTTAGAATTGATAGGTTTGTTCTCTTTGCAGTCCAGGGAACTCTCAAGAGTCTCCTCCAGCACCACAATTCAAAGGCATCAATTCTTCGGCGGTCAGCTTTCTTTATGGTCCAGCTCTCACTTCCATACAACACTACAGGAAAAACCATAGCTTTGGCTATGCGGACTTTTATCAGCAAGGTGATGTCTCTGCTTTTTGAGATGCTGTCGAGGTTTGTCATTACTTCTCTCCCAAGAAGCAGGCGTCTTTTAATTTTGTGGCTGCTGTCACCATCTGCAGTGATCACGGAGCCCAAGAAAGTAAACTCTGTCACTGCCTCCATATCTTCCCCTTCTATTTGCCAGGAGGTGATGAGACAAGTGGCCATGATCTTATTTTTTTGAGGTCGAGCTTCAGGCCATTTTTTGCACTCCTCTTTCACCCTCATTAAGAGGTTCTTTAATTCCTCCTCACTGTCTGCCATCAGAGTGGTATCACCTGCATATCTGAGGTTGTTGATATTTCTTCTGGCAATCTTAATTCCGGCTTGAGATTCCTCCAGCCTGGCCTTTCGCATGATGTATTTTGTATATAAATTAAATAAGCTGGGGGACAATATACAGCCT